ATTACACGAGTAATTTCAGAAATATTATAACATTACACAATAACTGATTTTCATTCCAATTGTGCGATAAAGTATCGCCCTCATAATGTCTGCTTCATTTTAACAAGACCACAATCGATTTTGTTATCCACCCACCATGTTATTAAAAAAAACTCTTACAATTTACCTGAAAGTTGCATGTAACAATAAGGGTAAATGAATATCTTCGTGTCTTGCATTAGATTCCAAGCCTCAAAGACACATTCTTTGCAGGATTAATACCCGCTTTCGCGCAGCACGTGGTTACAAATCGACGACGATTAAGGCACAAAGGAAGTCGCGATCGGACGCGTCGCATTAACGATGCCGGCTGAATCTAAGCGGATTACACGCGCGCGTACTCGCGAGTATCGGCGTCTAAATCGCGCGACTTCCGATCGTCGTAGCGCTTCGGGGTCGGCCGGCCGATGAATGGGCCAGGATGAATGGTAGCTCGTCCAAAGGACGAAGCTTGTGAATGGCGCGTACCGGCGGTTGTATCGCGCGCGTACGCGCGATCCCGCTCGACGCGCCGAAAGCGCGCGTTTCTACCTGCTTTCGAAACACAAGAGTGACAAATTTTTTAATTGATAACATGATAATGACAAAATCTCGTCCCCCTGGCATGGCTCGCATGAAATAATCTACGACAGAACTTGGGAATAAAATTAATCGGACGGATAGCTCTGTGTACCCGAGAAATAGGAGAGGGTAATAAGTCTGTCGGTAATTACGTGGCGGGTCTGACGCACGACCGTGTTGTATTTACCGCATGAAACTTTGAACTGCGTTTTCCACAGATAATTACAATATAACCGGCTACCCTCCTCTTCAATAATTCGACGAATTTCAAATTAAATTTTTTCGCAGCGCAAATCAAAGCGGCTGACCCAATTACGGAGATATCACATACGGGAAATTAAAACGATTTTGCCGTGTTGGGCTTTTAATAATGGACACTGAATTATTTCACATATACGTACGCGCCGCACGGTAGGCTTTAATTTAACTTTTCATTTAATTTCACAGAGGCTCGAAATCACTGTGTGCACTCGTGATCTCTTATATCGCGATTTGCTCCCCGCTCGGGGAGCGTTAACAGCGTGGCGTAACAAACGTGTAAAACGAATTCATCGAAATTACATTCCCATTTCCGATGTTAAATCTCAAAAAAAGACCCAAGTATTCCCAGTTGTAAAGCGGACTGACGCGAACTATTAATTTCGCATATACATGTTTTCTCACACTCTTGTAGTTGCACTCGCTGATAAATCGTTTTTTCTCATTTTACCTTTATTTTCCCTCGTAAGCTCGAATGTCGCGTTCGTTTTCCGCGATAAAAGAGAGAGAGAGGGGGGAGGGGAGGGGGAGGGAATAGGCCGCTAATAATTAGAATTAAGTTAACGAGTAGCCGGAAGGTAGAGATGGACGGAGGTAAAATTATCGTGGTGAAAACGAGATAAATAAGGAGGGCGTGTGTATCCTCGCCTCGGCATCGACAGTGCGTAACCGCTAAGCTTCTAACCACCGAGCGTTAAAACGAGCATCGCCGGCCGGCAAAGAGTGGAGGATTAGTTTTCTCGGAGGCGTCTAACCGTAATTACGGGATCGAAGCGAACCGCTTTCGCATGCGATCGTTGCGGCATGTGGACCGCGAACGTCGCGCGTGTGCGGGCTCAGACGAATCTCTCTCGGCTTTATACCCGAGGGACAGAGGGGTTTAAGTCCAAAAACTCATTTTACCGGATAAAATCTGGGATCACATAGCGAAAGAGAGAGGGAGAGAGAGAGAGAGAGAGAGAGACATATATACGCCCTCAGAATAAATTAAATGAATAAATATGTATGAATTTCATTAAACAAAAGTCGAAGTTCGTAAAATAACGTTCGGAAGTGACGTGGAACGAATGTAAAATACCGCACACGTGCGTTTACACGCGCTCCTGATATTTCATGAGATTCCGAATAAAATAAAAATCGGACTCCATCTCTCCTCCATTTCTCATGTATGGAAAATGTATTTCGTCCGCGAGATTCTCTCCTCGAATTTCGGTCGCATTTATTCTGTCGGGGAGAGAACGAAAAATGAACAGATTACGGCGAACCGGAAAAAAAATCTCGAATATATACAAGAGGACATTTTCGAGCGTCCTATGCAAATTCGATCATTCGTATAGATTCTGCTTCCTGTATCGCATGCGGTGACACCGCTTCGGCCATATCTCATCAGCTTAGAGGCTGACGGTGTACATTACAGAAGTCTACGATAATATCCGGCAAAAAGCGCGACACTCCCAGGGTCAAAGATCTCGCAGTTGCCTTCTCTCTCTTTCTGTCGCGCGGTTCGCGCGATGCGCGTCTCGTGCTCTCGCATTTATCAGCCGCGGCTGCGGACGCCTCGATAGAGGACACGCGAATGAGAAATAGAGTGGATAAACCGGCGGATAACCTTGATTAATTCTATTAAATATAATTGGACCCCTATGCCGGGGTGAGCATATCATCGCCCTGATATACCGGGATATCGCGTGAGATGTAAATTTTCCGCGAGTATCTCGTCCCGGCTTTGCGCCGAAAGAGTATTATTTAACGCCGCCCGTTCATTTTCTGCCCTGTTTTTCTCGCTCGTGTGCTCGCGAACGCGGCCATAAAATATCGCGCTCGCCGAAGAACCGGTTGCTCCTGCATCGAAAAACAAATATTTTTCCGCGGCCGCCTATCCGGCAGCTTTAAATATTTGGCCCAACGCTCGGTCCCCTCGCTCCGGCCTCTGTTCGCTCTCGATCTGCGACCTCACCTCCGCGTATCGACGCACTTCGAGATATGCGAGGAGTAAACGCAACTCGGCGAACTCGGCATTGAAAGTTTCTCGTAAGCTTTTTGATTCTTCGGCATTCCGAAGCTCTGCTGTTCGAACAGTCCACGAAGTTACACACATAGATCGCAAAGGAGAGCAATTATACGGAAACACACCAGATTTTCAAACTATTAGGAAAACAAACTTGCCGAATTCATTGATGCTAAATTTTGCTCGGAGAGACTAATGAAAATAAAGCTGCGACTTTTTTTTCATCTACGTGTTGGAAAAGTCCTTTGCCCCCACACTGACAGAAGATTCTTTAGTTATCAGAACAGAAGTGACTCGCGTTACTTGAAGAATCTGTTAAGGAAACAGATCGGAAAGTTACTGTCGCAAATTATTTGTCATCATTTTTTTATTTTAACTAACTAGTGCCAAACCAATACGAAAGTGTTGATTAGAGCAGCAAGTTGAAAGTACAAATTATTTGCCTCCACTACAGGGTCATTTGTTGTCTCACATCTAAACCATTTGTTGCGTGTACTGATAATTTGTTAAATTAAAAAGTTTTTCTCTCAGTGCGAAAGCTATTCGCGAGCCTCTTGGGGAGCCGCTCCGCATTAGAGAATCGCGGCAGATCCGAATCTAGAAATCTCCCTCGTCGGCTACCGTCCTCACCGTCGCGTTACGAAACCCGCGCACGTTTCTGCCGATAAATCAACGAGCAACAGTCGGCCGATCTCTCGGGCAATCCTCGATCGCGCTGCCAGCCGGCCGGTCAACCGGCCGATCAATCACGCGCTTTCAATCCCTGACACGTGCGCGATCCGGTATGGAACGTCGCAGGTACGAACGAGCGAACGTCGTTCGTTGCTTGTTACTGTATCGCGAGCACTAGGTGGGCCGCTCACGCTAATTCGCCAGTTAGCCCCGCACGCCCGGCATTCGACGCGTCACGTCGATTCGCATCCGCCTACCCACGCTTGCCCCCTGAACCGATCAGTGCCGTAACCGAATGGGGAAAGATACCGTAAAACTTGGCGGACCGCTCGCGAATCTGGAACTGACCGGACGTCCTAAACCAGGCGTCCTTCTTCTTCCTCAAGATTTTCCCAAAGATCTCTTGTCCTCTTTAAGAAATCCATCTTTGAGAATTTCGACAACTTCTCACGCTTCGTCCCATTCTTTTTCTTCCTTTAAGTACGATGCGTGACTACGAGGACTCGTGTATTATGCAACTTACTCGTAGCAACTTGCGAAAACACACGGGGTTTCTTACTGCTCCGCGTTATTTCGTTTCAGCGAGTTCTATGCTCAAGTTCTTTTTCCCGATGACATTTTCCGATTTTCCTCCGAAGCATCTGTGAAAGAAGCTCTTATCTCATCACCCGGCACGAGTGTCCTAGAGCACGTTTCATTCTGATTACGACACTGTTCGTCGGCTCCTTCGGCCCCGTGGCAGTCGGGACCATAACATAACGCTCGGGGAATTAATCGAACAGCTGGGAGACGCGGGGCATCGGGGAGACGCGCCGACCGTACGGGACATAATGGATGGATAGTCGCGGCTAGATAATAGATGGATGGATACCGGCCGGTGGATGATAATGGGCCGTGTCAAGTGCGAGACGAGGCTAGACGAGCTGAAGTAACCCAAGTGCCTGCGATGTGTTCGCGACACGGGGTCGAAGGCTCCGTGACGTCACAACGCCCGTCCAGAGTCTCGTCTGACACCGGAGAGAGAGAGAGAGAGAGAGACCTTCGCATCTGCACGCGCGCACGTTCAATCCTCCGCGCTACTTAAACGCGCTAATCGTATCAATCGTATTAAATTTCCGGGTAAATAAGCGTTATTAATGTATCACGCCACTTATCGCGTTTCTGAGACTCTCTAATCGTTCTTAATGGTCGCACCACGAGGGTACCACGGTGGCAGCCGGTCTACGACTATTTCGATAACGTCCGCACGAGGAGTTAATTCCGACAATTGCTCGGTGCCGACCGAATTGTATTCCGCGCGCGCGATTTAGAGTGCATTCCCGCTAACGACGCGTTTCCTCGCCCGCAGACGTCTGCGAGCGAGGGAATTAAGCCGCGCGGGTTAAGCCGCGCGCCGCCATAAATTGATTAAGCCACTGTAGGAGAGCGATGGTAATTTGTCTTCCGCTTCGTTTTGTTGCAGATCAGTGCGGAAAGTGCCGTGCCAGCACGAAGAGGCTAAATCTCAACAAGTACTGCAAAAGAGACTACGGTAAGCGCCAAGCCGAACAATGTTGCTCCGCGCGGCGGAGAACGGTGTATTAATCGTGCTCGTCCCTTATATAGGGGAAGCCGCGGAAACCCAAACATTGCGCGCAAATCTCATCGTCGTGCGAATCTTCGAGGGCCTATAGTTAACTCGTCGCTATATATAACGCGGTATACCCCGCGGCTATTACAATTTCTAGAAATAGAATGAGTCACTGTAAAGCGAACGGCAACGGTTTGCATTCATTGACGAAATAACGACTAACTAATGCGATGACACTAATTCTTCGCAATGTTTCAATCGAGGATAAATATTTCGTCGAGTATCTCGCGAAACTTCGTCGCTCACTTTATTCTCACCCATTAGCTTCCCGTTCGAGTGACTTTGTTTTGAAATTAACTGAGAATCTATTGTCTATCCAATATCGAAATTCGTTTCGACGAAACTTTCATCACGAGTGCTCTCGTGACTGAATTTGCCGCTAAATTTTCTAATCAAAACTAAATATCAAATTCGCATCGAGAGATTCGTATATCAGCTTGAGGGACGTTCGATGGATATACAAATTTCAATCTGGTTTTAATACTCGTGGTAGAAAATATCATACGAGAAGGAGAGAGAGAGAGAGAGAGATAGTATATGTGTGTGTATCGAGTACTTTTCGCTTCTCATTAAAAAGTTGTTTCGAGCTCTATAGAATGGAAAATTACTCTCATATTTGAATCCGACAACCCGTTGTTTTCCCGATAGGGAAGTAACAGTAGGTAACTCCTGAATCCAATATCATTATATCACGCCCGGTGAACGAGAACGCTCGGGAGCGACGATAAACGCGACAGTGCTATAGACAATCGTCGATTCCCGACTGGCCGCTGTTGGAAAAACGTTGCGCCACGCAAAGCCACCGAAATTGTTTCGGCTTCTATCAGGGGTGAATGTGCATATATATGTGTATGCGCGTGTGTGTGTGTGATGTGTACACCCGGCCAAGTTCGGAGGGCGCATGTGAAACAGGACGATTTATGCCGGAGTGCCGTCCTCTCCCTCGAAAGTCCTCGAAAAAGTCGCATATAAACGCAAACACCGACGGAGAAGGACAAAGAGAGGCAAAGAGAGAGAGAGAGAGAGAGAGAGAGAGGGAGTGAAAGAGAGAGAAGAGATAGTGGGGAATTTCACTTTGGGAGAAACCTCGCCTGTTCACAAATAATTAATGAGAATTGAAGGAAATCAGATTAAAGTGAAAATTAATTACATCGAATCAATTTCAATCGAATCTGAAATTTACTCAGCAAAAGAAATTATAAAAATAGCATTGCCATGCAAATATTTTCCTTACTGGAATTTTCGCTTTTCGGTATATATTATAATCATAGTTAACAATTATTTCATATCAACGCATATGCTTTGCTCGTTATAATTATAAATTTAATATTAATGGCATCATGGAGGATCACTATTCGTTTAATAATTAAAATTCAAAACAATTATTTCAGGCATCGGTCTCTTTTGCGCTTCGGATTCGAAATTCACGAAATTCATTGTCGAGGATAGCGGAAGAGGGAGAGAGAGAGGAAGAAAGAGAGAGAGAGAGAGAGAGAGAGAGAGAGAGATGCAGGGTTGTTTGTGCGTGGCCATGACGGTTCCCAACGAACGCGGGCACTCTCGCGGTAATGTGTATAACGGCTGGTTCAAAAATGAAAGGCTCGCGTTTTAACGGTGCCGGGGCTTTCAATAATAGAATGGCACGCCTTTGAGCCGGCTTTCGGCCGGGTGGCGGCGGCCTCGGTTCCGCTCCCTGCTTCTCCCTCTCTCCCGTCGGCTCGCTTGATTCAGCGCAGATAAATCTTCAACAGGTCTGCACTTAGCTGTCTCCGACTTAGAATAGCGGGGCTGAAACGACCACGTCGCGTCCCGACCACGTCGCAAAGGCGAAACCGATCGGGAACGATGACATCCCGTGCCATCCTCGACGCTTGTACGCTTGCACGTGCCTCCGCGCGTCTTGTTTTTCGTCGTCGGAGTTCTACGCGCGTATCTCGAGTGCGACCGATGTTGAGATGCGCCGAGGGGTGTCGTAGGGAAGCTGCTTCCGCTGCATCGGCATTTAGCTCGTAGTTTTAGTGCCAAAATTAAATTGGAGACAAGGACGGGAGACCGAAGTAAAATAGAAAAAAAAAAGATCGAGCCTATCGAATGAATTTTCTTCTAGAAATCAAAAAAATTGTGTCGTCGAAAATGGCTATTTGTCGAGACGAAATTTCAGAATATTTTCATGTGAAGTATTTGATACAAAAGATTTCTCCTTCTCCGCACACACACATATTCGTGCGGTGCAGGGGATGATTTCACCGTGCGAAAGATTTCCTAGATATCGCGAGTTCCTACGAAATCGCCTGAGAGAGAGAGAGAGAAAATGCACGTTTCCGTTACGAGGATGCATTCCGCTATCCTACGCCTCCCCCGCGAGGAACGAGGAGTCTCCTCGGACCACGACGTGAGGAATAACGCGGCCCCACGATTCGAATAGCAAACCGCGGGGTCGAGCACGACGGCGTACAAACTCGTAACGCCGACGTCGAGTAATGAATGGTTCGATCGAATGCAACTCGACGCTGAATCGCTGTTTCGCTGGGGCATGACCCTAGTCCTTGGCGAAAGGCTAATAGTATCCCTGTCCTGAGGACGACAGGATCGATGGTACGCTCGTAACGGGAAGGAAAGAAAGAGAGGAAAAAGTCTCGCCCGACCGCGGGCCCCCATTCGATTCCACGGTCTTGAAACGATTGTACGGTTGCTTGAAAGGACCCGGGTGTCCTTTCAACGTAAGGAACACGTGTGTGTCCATGTTAAAAGGTTGACGCCGATTACGTGCGATACACAGGCACTCGCGTCTATAACGCGAAATATCGATTTTATAAAATTAGATTCGCCGGGAATCAAATTCGGAAAGCAAAGATGGAAGCAGACTTTTCACGAAGCGAAAAATACGTCGGAGGATTTTCCACTTTACGAGATATTCTTGAGAGACAAGAAGATAGTTATAGCTCCCGTTTATCGTAAAATGGAATTGTAGTTGCCCTCAAACAATCTATAGGAGAAAATAGAGACCTTCTATACTCTCGCTTAGATCCCTTTTTTCGTTCGTCACTTCAATTACATGACATAACGCGGTAATATAGCGTGTGCTAAAAATACGATGTTCAATATGTTCTTTTTCACCGCAGCTATTCTGGGAAGAATAACGGACAGACACAAGAAGAGCGACGGCTCGCAATCCGGCACAAGCGTATCAGGCACATCCTGGATCCGATTCACCTTAAACGTCGACTTCGTTTACAAGAAAAACACCAACTCGAGGATCCGACGTGGCGACGTCTCTCTTTACGTACACTCGGCTGATCTGGCCTGCAGATGCCCTAAAATCAAGCCTAACAAGTGAGTATCTTATCGCCTCGTAAAAGAATTTATTCTCGAGATATTGTTTTCATATTTACGAATATCTACATCTCATCCCTACACAGAAGAAAGTGCTAGATTTATGTGAATAATTACTCCAATACTCCTTAGCAAATTTTTATTTGGTTTTTTATTTGGATTTACTTAATCCAAGCAAAAATTTGTCAAGAAATATTGAAGTAATTATTTACTTAAATCTAACACTTTCTTCTGTGTAAATTATAAGACCGTGTACACTGAGAAACAAATTCAGTTGACTCAAACAAAATTCTTGTTTGGATATGTGCAAACAAATGTTTTGATTGTGAGAAAATTTGCTTCTTTAAACTAAAAGTTTGATCCTTTGAATAAAACCCTTTCCACCTCCGTTTGAGAGAACCAAACCTTTGGTTCAAAGAATCAAACTTTGGTACACAACCAAAACATTAGTTTGCCCATATCCTTACAAGGATTTTGTTTGAGTCCACTAAACAGGTTTTTCAATGTAGAGAAAACTACTTGCAATGTAGGAACCGTAAACTCTTTAATTTCACGAAAGCTTTGCGGGCGAGATACCAGAGAGCGTCACGAAGACATATGAAGCACGTATCAATACGTTACACGTTCCCTAAGTACTTTTCAGGCACCGTACCAAATCGGTGTGGTTTGACATTCCGCTCGCCTTGAACTGAAAATCAACCCGAACGGTCAAGGTTTCCCCGACAGGACAGCCCCGATAATGTGGAAACTAGAGCGGCCGTTGCGGCCGTGAACCGCCCGTCAGATTGCGAACGGACGCGAAATCGTCGGGGTAGCCGGCGGCGGGCTGAAGGGGCGGCGTAGAATCGCTGCCTACGCTCACATTCGCTGTTTATATGTGTTCGCAGGTCCTACTTGATCCTCGGCCAAGAGAGCGACGGCGGTGGTCAAGGTGGGCTCACGATTACGCAGAGGTCGATCGTCATCGAGTGGCGCGACGAATGGCACCGCCGGATGCGCCGTTTCCAGCGAAGGGCGAGATCGTGCCATTGAAATGCTCCGTACATCGCGGCGAGGAGGAAGAGATAGGAAGAGCGATCAGGAGAACATGAGAGAACGAGAGAGGGAGAAAGGGAAAAAGAAAGAGAGAGAGGGAGGAGAGAAAAAGAGAGAAAAGGAGAAAGCGGAGGAGAAGAGAGAATGTGTGTATGAACGTATGCCTGCGTGTGTCTGTGTGTATGTTTGTGTGCGAAACAGAGAGAGAGAGAGAGAGAAGAAAGTCGATCCCCTCCCAACCGTGTTCGTAGGAGCCCGCATATCTTCATTTCCCGGCCGCGAATACCGGTGTATCGGGGTGCCGATTTTGTTTTGCGCGCGTCGACGACCGCACGTCGAAGGCAACGAGAAGGAGGCAAGGAGGAGGACAAAAGGGGGAGCACCGATTCTTTCCGAGAGAAACGTCCGCCGCGCGGAACGACGAGCGAGCAATGCACGATGTTGCGAGGGAGAAATGATAGCATGTGCCGTCGCGAATTAATCCCGAAGCAGTGCGCGATCGGCAACTGTCGATCGCTCCGATGCAAAGCTGACAAACGAGTACCAATCTCGGAAACGAAAGCTATTCACCCTCGATGGATTACGTTCGCACTGGACCACTTTGCTCATATTAACGCGGAAAATTCTCGAGGCTCATCCGAGCATTTAAATGACATCTTGGAACGTCGCCATCAGGTCGCAGGATCCCACGGAAACGCAGATCGGTGAAAAGGTCCGCTCGATCAGGACAAATCGCAGCTGCTAGGTCGCGCGAGCGCCTAATCGCGCGTTTCGTGTCGATTCACTCCCGATATTTGTCACGCGACATTTCCCCGTGACGAACAATTTAGCGGACGGCACGTACCCTCGAGGCCGTTCGCACCCGATAAATCGCGCGTCCGTGAGAAATGTCGCGGGATAAATGCCGGGTCGAATTTACGCGGCGGATTCAATTACTCCGGAATACCGCAAATCGCCGCGAAGGTACGGCGCGCGTTCCCGACGGCACGGCCGTTATTTCAACGGCGAATAATCGTCCCGAATGTGTCGTCCGATTTTCTGTACCGTTAGTACGACTCTCCGGAGCGGGCTCGAGCTGAGAGATTATTCACTTCCGGATTCGTGGAATTTGCGGACCGCGATCGATTTGCGAGGTCAATAAATATTGATGGCTCTGATTGAGTTTTGCGCGCGCAGGTAGACTGCGAGGGAGAACTCGCGCTATTAATACCGCTATAACACGCATAAAATAGCCGGGCTCTCTTTCAGAACGCTTCTCCGATACTGCCGATGGTAATTCATATTCATCAGCATCAATTTGCTATATACAAAAATGGACATGTATGGATTGTACGCGATACGGCGCGAACGTGATATACACGAAAAGGCCGTTAATGCATCTATATTACGGAAGAGGTACTGTCATTAAAGCTTAATAGATTCAGCGAAGCAAAATCAATTCCCGAAATCATATACGTCGCGCTTGATGCACAATGTCTTTAATCTCGTTCGCTACTTATAAACGGAAATTGACGCGGCGACTGCAAAAGAAGGGCACGCGAAGACAAGAACCCGTGTTTCGAGCGAGATTCATTTGAAAATTTTGCTCCTCCTTTCTCAACGTTTTTATAGTCTATTAACGAAATTACAGTCGCGTCGAAGGACTTCAAATTAGCTAAGATGAAAACTTTGAGTATCTCTTTCTCGAAATGATCATTCCATTGACTTCTCATGCGATTATATAAGACATTTTTATTTTATTTCAAATTATTTCTGAATATTTTCACAAAGATACTTAATCTTATCTTAACAAGAACACCTAACGCCATTTAAGCGAGTTATCTAATTCGTCTCTCATCAAAATGATATCAAACTGATAACATTAGAGATCATAAGATATACAGAATAAGTATGTGTGTAAAACACGATCATCTTACGGGAGTGTAATAAAATTACACAACGTAGAGGAGCGCACAAATTGTGCATCCACGGCGATATTTCGACGTCGGGCGGGTAGTAATACCGAGACGAAGGTACACGCGATAATGCGCGTCTCGACTTTATATCCCTGAGAAACCGCGACACACCTGCTACGGAAGCACGATTTAACCGCGTCCAGCGCGCGAGCTGGAGGGCTCGTATCGTCCCCGGTACTAAAAGGCGGTCTTGAGTGGACAAGAGCAAAACGCGTGCGTACGTGTACCACGTCTAGCGCGGCTTCAAATCTGATTTATTCGCGGCCGCCTTGTCTCGAGTGCGCCCGGAGACTGCGCTCGGGAGAAAGTGGGCGTGAGAGGGAAACAGCGCGAGAATCCAATGAAACACTCGCGAGAGAAAGAGAGAGAAGGACAGACGGAGCAAAGAGAGAAAATAAGAGCGAGCGAAACGTGCAGATAAGAGAGAAGGTACATGTGAAACGCATGAAATATATTTAACCGTTATATATTATCATTAGAGAGGTTGTATCACATCGGAATCTGAGAAGCGTTATCTCTCTGATCGCCTTGCTTAGAAAGTCAACTCGAGTCCGTTATCCAACGTTAAATATCGCCGATACGCATCAGGATGCAGGATATCCCGAATCTAGCACGAGTCACCTCTTATCTACGAATTATTATCCGCCTAATTTGAAGTCAACTTTTCCTTGATAAAAATCGATCGAGAAAATATCAACACCCGCCGCGCGAATTTCTAATTTCCGAAAAATATTCCGACAATGAATTCTAACATTGTAAAACCTGTTATGATAAGATTCGTTTCAATAGTTTTTGCACGCTTGACGCTCGGCTTCGCGGAGTTCTCAATTCCCATTTGCTCGCATTGGAAAAAACTATCGGTATCCTCGATATTTTTATCAGTGGAAGTCTAACTCGTCTTCGGAAATTCCTCAAAAACATCGCGGGTAGAAAAGAGCACGGGTAGTGGATCTATATGTATCTTCTCGTGTATCGGAAAATCGATTTCTCGCGTTTCTCAACGTCAAGCCGAGCTAATGACCGCGTTTTCGTACGTTCCTATTGATTGCCGAGCAAACGTTTGCCAAGTTAAAAGATCGCCAAGATCTTCCTTAGACGCCTAGCATTTTCCGTTGTCTTGTTTGGCCTCGTGTCGGGCCCTCGCAGACAAACGCTAGTTAAAACTCGCGCAAACATACAAACAAACGCGCAGCAACGCGGGAACGGAAATGCCCGTAACACGAAGAGCAAAACGATCGATTTCGCGTCCGCACGGCTTTTACAAATTTACGTCGATTTATCAGTGTCACCTGGGGAGGCCGAGGAACGCTGCAATTTGCGCAAAGATCGTAAAAATGCTCGGGCTTGCTCAGCGAGTTGTCGGTAATTCGTTTAAATAAATTTGGGTGGTCGTCGTCGCGTCGTCCTTCGCGCGCATCCTCAGACATTCGTTCGTTCGGGAGATAAATTGGCTCCGCCGGCACATTCGGCCCCTAAGGGCGGCTATTAGGAATTCGAGGCGAGTGGATTTCGGTCGCCGAGACGGGCATCCGTTTTGCTCGGCTTAAACGGTTCTTCCATGCGCTCATCTAAAATTGGAACGCACGGCATTCGCCGAGAGGACGAACGAGCGCGCGCGTTCACGAGTTTCGCCCGATCGAAAATAATATCATTGTGTGCGTCGAGTTGCACATTTCATTCGCGAGTCGTTAAGTCGATCGAGCAAACGTCATCGAAAACCGAACCGATATTCTCTCGTCTCCGGACACAACTGTTCCACGAAATTCACGAGAAATTCATGCGAAAACTGCTTTTTCTAGTTCAACAATCTGTGACGTATGACCGTACGGGAAGAGAATTGCGACATTAATCGAACTGGAATAACAGGAAGATTATAAAACAGAAAGATAAAACGTGTGTTCATTGCCAGGCGCTATTTCCAGTAGCTATGATTTTTATTAATTGCAAGTTCAAAGCGGAGTAGCTTGACATTCGCCACAGTTGCTAAATGATTGCTCGCGACGAAGCGCGAAGATTAATGAGTCTCGATTGAGTGAACGTGCGTTTGTCCGATATCGTTTTGTGCAAATGCGCCGTAGAGAAATCTCAGGACGTTGGAAGGACATTAGCACCACGATCCCGTCATTTTGACAGGTGCAGGACTTTTTCCCATCATCCATAATTCTATCAGTATTTTCATCGAAATCCGGAAAGAGAGAGAGAGAGAGAGAGGCGGGAATTTTGTAATTTTTAAGAAATTAGACTTACGCCATTTCCCCCGACAACGGCGTGAAAATCACGCCGCTGCTATCCATTTAAATGACGGGTAATGGGGTTACTCAAGCCAGACTATCAAGGCCGATGGTGCGACGTGAAAAAACTTGAGACTTTAACCGCGTTACTAGAGAGAAGCAGAGAAACGGGTCAAGTAAAGAGGACAACAGGCGCGTTGCTTTGTCGCGCGTCGTTTTCCGGCACGGCGGACCGCTCGATTGTAAATGGCACAAACTCGCCCCCGAAAAGGCTTCCCCTCCCTCTCGCGACTTCTGTTTTAATTTATTTATTCTTCGCTCGCTCGATCATTGCGCGTCGACCGTCGTACTCATAGAGATATCACACGCGTTCGTTGAATGTAGATTTTCTTGTACATTTTCTATATAAATTATTAAGATCCTTTTCTAGCTGGTACGTTATTACGTAGTAAACAGAGAGGAGGTGGAGGAGGAAGAGAAGGAGAAGAAGAAGGAGGAGGTGGAGGAAGCAGAAGAAGAAGAGGAGGAGAAGAGGAGGTAGAGAAAGAGAGAGAGAGAGAGAGAGAGAGAGAACGGTAGAGGCTAAGCACTGACACGTGTCGCGATGTGAGTCGCGGGGCTTATCGATCAATGGTGACACTCTCCCGGATCGTTTGCGTCACTGGTTCTACAGGCGTGTCAGTTCAGCACCGTGATTTTGCCTTCAGCATCGGCCTTCGAAACCGAGTATCGTCGTTATAGTAATAAACGGACACGCTCGAGCAAGCCGGGCGGTCATCAATGCGATTAACTGCGCGCGATTAACGATATTTCAACTCCTACATTCACCGACGCGCGCAACTCTCGAGATCTAGCGCTCTCTTATTATCGCGATGTGTACCTGATATATATCGATTTATTA